AACTGTCAATATCAAACATCACCCAATTAATAATTGGGTCCCACTACATAACCATAAGTACATTCTTTGTGTAATTACTACATTACCCCTAGCTTGGCTATTCAAGCCCAAGGCCCAAAGTCAATAAGGAATCAAAGCCCAACACATGGCCCAATTTTCCAAATTGGGCCCAGGCCTATACATGGTCTTATTCAAACGCCCAACCAAAAAGTCCAGTCCAACATTTGGTATTCTAATGGCCCAATACCTCATAATCATGAAGGCCCAAACTATGACCCATCTATGGTCTAATTTTCCAAATTGGGCCCAACTCCTCATATAGGCCTTCCTTGCCACAAAACCCATTAATTATTCTAGTCCATTTGCTTGATCTTGGATGGCCCATTAATAACCCAATCATCAAGGCCCAATAGAAAGGCCCAACAATAAACCCAAGTGAAATTAGAGTTTCACATAAAATGACGATTAGGGTTAAGTGTTTCTCGCTTAACCCATTAAGGACTTAATCCATTAAGTCCATCACTCTTCTAAATAAATCATATGGTGTGATTGGGCTTAACACACAATTCCATTCCAGTGGCCCAAATGTGGGTCCCGATAGGTCCAATGCCCATAAATCCAATATTAGGGTTTTCTAAACCCTAATTAGGGTTTCCAATCCTCATCTTAGCCCAAAAGGCCCAATAGCTAGGTCCTTAAGCCCATTAGGGTTTCCTAAGGTCAATTAGGGTCCATTAGACACATGTTTGGGCTTTAGTGTCAATTAGGGCTTCATTAGGCCCAATAGGGTTTCACTAAGCCCATTAAGGCTTCTTTGGGCCCATTAGGGTTTTAGTCTCTTGTCCAACATCCCAAACGAATCACACCGCCACCCGACACCGCGGTCGGTGGCGGCAGCCACCACCTTAGGTGGCAGTTTTCAATTTCTTTCCATTATTCCATTTTTGTGTTACAATTTACAATGAAAATACCAAAGCAACACACACTAACTAAGCTAAACATACACACATATAAACACCTTGTGGTGGCCGGCGGTGGCAAGTGGCGGCAGCCACCACCCTATGGTGGTGGTGATGCCTTTTCTGAGGACTCCAGCCATACACCCACACACACATCGACTGCACATGCACTTCTTTACTCCTTTACTCGAAAAGGGAGCCCAAACACCCATTATGTGACATAAGGCGGCGGCAGTGGTGATTTCACGTCGGCAGCCACCACCTCACGGTGGTGGCAGTGATTCCTTTTTGGCTCCCAATAACACAGCAACACAAAACACGATCTGGAACACACTCCCATATGTGGAACGACCCACACAGCCCCGCCATGAACAGGTGCGAGTCGGCAGTCCACACCGATCTCAGAAACGAAACCGCAACCATCTTTTCTCGGCGGCGAGCAACAGTCGGAGGCGACTGCAACATGACGACGGCGGCAACGGACTTGTGATGACGCAACAGGAAACGAGGGAGGTGGCGGCGGTGGCCTCGTCGTCGTCGGCAAAGGAGTAGCACTGCAACAGAACGGCAGAGAAGGAGCAGCGGCAATAACGTTCGTCGTTGAAGGGCAGCAGCAGCGGCGCTCATCATGGCGGTGGTGCAAGGTGGCGACGAGGGAATTGGAAGCGGCGGCTGGAGATCTCCGATAATAGCGGCTGCACCCTCTTAGTTAGGGTTAGGGTTTGTTGTGACATATATACCCGCCTCCACACCAAACTTGTTACCATAATGGCAAGACTGATCCCTCCCCATGACATTTTCTTTCAAAATAAGGCCATATTTTACAAAGCAGCCCCCCAACCTCCAAAATCCTTTCACAATCAGTCCATAAGTTACCAGTTGAACCCCACCATCTGAAACCCTTTACAAATTAGGTCCGAATGATCAAATTTTAGCCATGTTAACATTTTTAGTCCCCCCCCCCTTCCTCACATTCTTTTCAACTTAAGTTCCAATAATTACCACGGAGCCCTTGTCTTCATAAATATTTACAAACTGAGTCCGGAACTCACACTTTTAATCCCTGACTCCTAAAATTGTGACAATTAGCTCTTCGAGATCATCCTTTTATATATAATTATTTATTTTAGGCTACCATTCGTTCATTAATTTATTTATTTAACTAATAAACAAACGGGTGTTACAGCTAATTCAGTCTCTAACGGCTGAATACTAACGGCGTTAGTAAAAAGGGCCATCTGTGCAAGTTTTGCAAACCACATGGGCCATTTGCATCAAAAAAAATTAATAGGGACTAACTTTGTTACTTTTGGCAAACCACAAGGACCATTTTTGTATTTTTGTCTATATTATACAACTAAAATGCATTAAGTCCAAAATTACCACGGTTCAAAAAAAATTTGAACTAATATCAGTAGTTTGTTGCGTTTTTGGTCCATTTTATTCTGATTTTTTTTCAAAATGACGGATTTGCCCATATTAATATGATTTCCTTTTTTTTTCTTATTCGTTTTTCTGATTTTATTACTTTCATTAAAAAAAACTATCCCTAAAAACCCCACCCATCCCACCATTTCCCTCATCAGTCACCATAGACTCTATCTTTCTCTCATTGTCTTTACTGTCCACCGGAAACCACCACCTCCACTGTCCGAAATCACCGTCACTATCAGAATCCACCACCTTCACTACTGGAAATCACTGCCACTGTCGGAATCCACCACCTCCACTACCAGAAATCACCGTAACTGTCATAAAACAATCGTCATTATGGGAATCCACCACCTAGCCATGTGAAGATCTGAAACACCACTACCACCATCGTCCTTCTCCGATTATCTATATCACCGTCAATCTGAAACCCTTACCGCCGATCTATCTCTCTTAACTTCGATCTGAAAACCCTCTACATCGAAACGGTAGAAACCACCACCACCACCGCCGAGCTATCTCTATCGGGTCTGAAACCCTTTATGTCGAAAAGGTTAAGATCTACTTCGTCTTCATCTAAAGTCCATATCTATGTCATTGGTGTTCAAGTCTACGTCGGAAGCCGTCGTCGTAAGTTCAAATCTACGTCGGAAACCATTGCCACCACCACAGCTCAACGTCGTCTCCACCACCTTCGTCATTGGAGTTCATATCTACGTCAAGAACTCCGATGGCGCTGTAAGTGGTTAGGGTTTCTGGTGGTGGTCCGACGAACGAAAGAAGGGTGGCGCTAGCGGTGGTTCTTCGATGGTTTTCAGATCGACGTACTGGTAGGTGGTAGTGGTTGTTTATATTTTTCTGGTGGGGTTCTGATGTAGGTTTGGTGGTCAGATCTATGTCGTTGGTGGTGGTTTGGATGGTCCGACAAAAAGGGGCATCTCCGGTGAATAGGGTGATCCGACAGGCTGAGGTGGTCCGGTAGATGGCGGTGGTCCGACAGAAGGTGGTGGTCCGACAGTAATAAAGAAGGAGAGAGGGAGAATATGTATCCAATGTAATTAAGAGTGATAATGAGTGGTGGGTTAGTAGGAGGTGGGGGTATATACTTATTTTTTGTTTTTCTTTTAATTAGAAAAATATTAAGTAAATAAAAAATATAAAATACCAAGGATAAAAATGGCATTTAAAAAAATTTATAACAAATTGGACCAAACTTGCAACAAAATGAAAGTTTTTGACCATTGGTGCTAGTCCAAACCCTTTTGGACCAAAGTGACATTTTTCAACATACCACAGGACCAGACCATACCATTTGAGTAGTTTAGTCTATTATATATAATATAATACAATATAGTTTAATTGTGAAACTATTTAACACATTCTTTTTTGGGATAATAACTTAAAAGGGTAGCATATTATTGGATTTGTATACATTTAGTCCCTGGTTTTTTTGTCCATATTTTCCCCTTGAACTTGTTTTTGTGTGTAAATTAAATCATGATTACCATTTGATGTCGGTTAAGCCAGTAATTTTGTGTTTTACGAGATTTTAAGAAAAATCAAATTAGTTACGTGGAAATTACGTGGAATTACCCTCTTCCACCCTCATTTACGAAGAACAACAGTTAGGGTTTCATTCTCACACTTCGTTCTCGATCAGTACCTCATTACTCACCCTTCCCTTCTCTCAAAACACCACTCTGATTCCATGGATGAGAATCAAGCTTTTCCAAAAGTCGATGTACACTATAATGGTACTTTTGTGCCTAATCCATTAGTGTATTTTTCTCCAGAAAAACTATGCCTTAATGAAGATGAAAACGAGTTTGTTTTCTCCAATTTCATCAAATATGTTGAGAAGCTTATCGATTTTCAGTGCAAGCATGTGTATTTATGTATACCTGAAGTGAGATTGAGTGGGGGGCTTTAAACACTACAAAATAAATGTGACTACTATGAATTTCTTGAGGTTGCAAATGCTCACAGACATGTGGATGTGTATATTGACCACGATAATGAACCTATATTTGAGTGGATTGAGAAAAAAGAACCAGACAGTGAAGAACTTGAGTATTCAGAAGAAGATGTTGACTCTGTTTTGGAAGATGATGAGAACTGTGAACATGAATAGGGTGACTATGTTATATCAAGCAAAAGAATCTTTAAAAGAACCTAGAATGATAAAGTTTTGAACAAGTTATGTCCAATAGTTGTTGCAGATGAAGATGAAGACGAAAATGAACTTCTAACAGTCTGCCCTAGGCATGATGCTACTTAGGAATGGATGAAGATGAAGCCTGAACTAGGTATGTGATTCTATTGTCTTGCTGAACTTAAGTCGTCTCTCAGTAGCTATGCATTAGCACATGGATATGACTTGTACCATGATAAGGATAGGTTGCTTGTAAAGTGTTGTAAAGGAAAAACACCATAATGCCCTTTTAGACCGTGGGCTTCTTGGATGAAAGATGGGCAAACATTTCGAATAAAGTACCTTAGAGAAAACCATAATTGCTCAAGGGCATTCAAACTGAGTCAGTTGTTACTTATAAGTGGATAAGGAAATAGTTTGTCACTAATATATTGGAGTCCGCTAAAATGAGCCTGAGGAAGATGAAAGCCATGGTATCCAATTTATTCAACATAAATGTTAGTGGTGGATAATGTAGGAATGCAAAAAGATTTGCATTGTGTGAAATTGAGGGTGATTTGAAGGATCATTACTCCAAGCTGTGGGAATATGGAGCTGAAATTAAAAGGGCCAACCTAGGATCTCATGTTAAAGTGTATGTGCAACCCCAAAGTAATTCTATTGTGGTGTTTGAAAGGTTTTATGTGAGTTTTAAAGGAGTGGTTGATGGCTGGTTAGATGGGTGTAAGAAGCTTAATGGGATATATGAATGCTTTTTGAAGTGCATATGTAAAGGGGAGCTCCTCTAAGAAGTAGGCAGGGATGGAAACAATAACATATACCCAATATCCTGGGCAGTAGTAAATGTTGACAACAAGAGTACATGGAAGTGGTTCTTGGACAATCTAACGGAAGACATAGATGAATGGGGAAATGGTAATGGAATCACATTGATGTCAGATGGACACAAGGTACATATTAAAAATTACCTTTTACACATACTAACATTCCAAATAAATGTAGGGTATAATGGAGGATGTGAAAGAAAGATGTCTAGAAGTGGAGCATAGGTTGTGTGCTAGGCACATTCATGCTAACTTCCATAAAAAGTTTAAGGGTGAGTGCTACATAAAACCTTTTGGAGGGTTGTAAAGGCAACTACAATTCATAAATTTGAACTTGCAATGGAAGAAATCAAGAGCTATGATGTAGGGGCATATGATTATCTCATTAAAAGGGACCCCAACTGTTGGCCAAAGGCTTTTTTTAAGGTGGAAATGGGATGTGATGCGATGGAAAATGGTGTTTCTGAGAGCTTCAATGATGTTATTGAAGAAGTTAGAAAGAAGTCATTGATCGCTATGTTAGAGGACATAAGGGTGTTTGTGATGGAGAGATTATACATGCAGAAAGGGAAAGGATCAGGCTGGGATTTGGTAATTTGTCCAACTATCAAAAAGAAGCTTGGTGAAATAAAGAAGTTGAGAAGGTTAGTGACCATATATGTTTTACTTACTTTTTGTACATGCAAGTGTTAACTAACTTTTTGTAATGGCAGATTCTTGGCTCTATATGTTAGTGGATATAAACAGTTTGAAGTTGTGCAAGGTAAAAAAAAAGGTATGGTGTTGACCTGGAGAAGAGAGAATGTGGATGTAGAGGTTGACAGTTAACAAGAATTCCATGTGCACATAAATCTAACAATTAAATGACTAATGAATAAAATTAAACGATAAATGTAACACTTATAGTTACTACTGTTATCATGTACCTTTTAATAATAAAATAAAGATAAATATACTGAAAATAGTAATTATTATATTTAAATTATAACTATCAAATCAAAATAAAATAGAAATGTATAAATCTAAAATAGGATGACTAAAATTGACAATCAAAAGTTTACTTTGTACAGTTTATCCCTTAGGCTGGAGGGAGTGGAGCATGTCATGTCATGTCATGCTGTCACGTCATATGTTAACCCATTAAATACTTGCCAATTGTCATGTCAATTTTGCCACTCAACATAAATGACATGTCATTTTCCTGGGTCGGTCAAGATTGTTTTTATTTATAAAAAAAATAAACTACATTTTTATAAAAATAACAAACATTTCATTAAAATAAAAAAAACCTCCAACATTTGAAATATTACTTAAAGTTACTCAAGACTAGACATAAAATTAAAAGCTTAAAACCCTGACTTAAAACTAGACTTAATACTAAACGTCAAACTCATATTTCTTCATAAGCTCCTCTTGTATTTTGTCCGCTGCACGACGTTGACGCTCGGGTACGTCTTTCATTATTAGCTTCCACTCACGATTTTTTTCTTTTTGTTCCGCAACTTGCAACATTTTTTGGATATGTTCATTTAACTCTATGATCCCTTCTCTCTTCTCCTCACCTGAAGAACCTTCGACACCCTTGAGCTTTCTCTTCGCTTTATCTCTTCCCATAGGACGACTCGGCCTCAGAATATCATATGTTTTAATATCATTGAGGTCTATTCCAACATGTGCATCCGAAGATTGACTATGGGAGTTTTCGGATGTTTTAGTTCTTTTTGAACTACCCGTAAAGTCTTCCGACGTGTATTGTTTTAGCCATTTCTCCTTGTCCTTCAAAATATCCCAAAAACAAATGTTTTTGAATATTTTCTTCTTTTCCTTACGGTACATTTCTTGAGCTTTGGTAAAGATTTGTGCATCATTAGCACCGCTTGGCCAAGATCGTTTCACGTTGATGTACACACCATTGAAATTCATTGCATATTTGCTTGTATTCCTCCATTTGGAATATATTTGATCTTTCGTTTGGTATGGACCTCTCTTCGTGTGCTTAATAAAAATTTTCCACACTTTTAAATAAAAAGTTTCTCCATCTTGGTCATCTCCGATGATAGGATCCTCTTATACGTTAACCCATGCTTCCGCTAACGCCTTTTCTTCATCTGTTGTTAAATTTTTGTTGCCGGCCCTTCCTTTTTTCTTCTTGTCGACTTAAGGGTTTTGTGGTATAGGGTCGGGTTGCGTCTGAATTAAAGTTAGCAAAACATTTATACTAATTAAAGTTAGCAAAACATTTACTTGATAACCAAAGTTTTAATATTGCTGGAAATCTGAATTAAAGTTAGCAAAACATTTATACTAATTATGATTGAATCCTAAACAAACACAAAAACTTAATAAAAGAAAAGTTTCCTAAAATACCCCTAGAACTAAAAATATCCCAAATTCCTCTTGTGATAATCCGATTAATCTAACAATCACCCCTTAATCGGATTTGTCATACCATCAAGAAATTGTCGATTCATCTTTAATTAGATTTGCCTCTTCTTTCTCCCATTTAGGACACTCGTTGCTATAGTGACCAAACTCACCACATTTGTAATATTTAACATGACTTTTATCCCGGACACGTTCATTACCATCTCGACTTCTCCCGAACCCCCGACCTCTTCCGCGGTCACGTCCAAAGTCATCCCGATTTGAACGTCCATTGCCACAATGCTTACAAAAATGTGATTTTTCCTCACCAACCAACAACAACCCACTTTAAGTATCCTCCACTTTCTCGGTTCCTCTTATACGCTCCTCGTACGCCTTTAAGCTACCAACCGCTTCATCGAATAACATCGAATCCAACTCGAAACATTGCTTTATTGAAGCCACGATTTGAAGAAACGACTTAGGCATCGAATCTAGTAACCTTTTTACCAAATCACATTCTTCAAGCTCATATCCAAGACTTCTTGCTTTTGAGGCTAAACCTGATAATTTTGTCACAAAATCATCAACCGTTTCATCCTCCTTCATGCGCAAACCTTCAAGCTCCCTCTTCAAGGTTGCAACCCAAGCCGTCCTCACCCGATCCACACCCAAATATCGTGTCTTCAAACCATTCCACACTTGTTTTGGATATGTGAAACTCGCCATCTGCAAAACCATGTCTTCCGGTATATATAGCTTGAAACAAGAAAGCAAGAGCTTGTTTTGACTTCTTTTGATCTGGTGCTTTATCTAACGTCTTCGGTTCGAACGTCTCCCATATGTCGTGTGCATCCATAATGGATTTGACTTTGACTTCCCACACCGGATAATTCGTTGGAGTCAAAATCGGAACTTGATACGTCATCGAACCTTCTTTAGTCGCTATTCTTCCTTTTTATAGCTTCAACCCTATTCCGATCAAACTTGTTCCAAGAGATCTATTCCACCAACCAAGAAAACAAGCAATCCGCTCTACCGTCTTCTTGCACATGCAAAACGAACCAAATCCAAAGCCACCTGCTTTGACGAATCTCTTCTGTTCGTTTATTCTGCACCTCCCTGATTAGTCTCTTTCACCCGAACAAGCCTCCGATCAAAGGATGAAGCCTACACCCCCTTTACTCGAACCAACCATCTTCAACTTTCTCTCTGATACCAAGTGTAAGATATTAACCTGATAATAGCTTATTGCCGAAGATCTGAATTAAAGTTAGCCAAAACATAGTCCCTATTTATAGTAATTATGATTGAATACTAAACAAACACAAAAACTTAATAAAAGAAAAGCTTCCTAAAATACCCCTAGAACTAAAAATATCCCATAATTCCTCTTGTGATAATCCGATTAATCCAACAGCGTCAAGGGTGGATCTTCGGATTCGATTGAATTTGGAAGATATTTTCTTGCATTGTTTCGAACGGGTTAAATTCGGGTTGTGAAGTTGGTTGGGATTGGAATTGGGATGGAAATTGAGACTGTGATGGAATTTGGGTTGGGATGAGAATTGGGGTTGAGATGGAGATTGGAATTTGGTTTGCTCCATATGTATAAAATGAAGCATTTTCGGGATAATAAAAAATTGGTGGTGAGAACATTGGTGCTTCAAGTTGAGGTCGATACACCGAAGGCGACAAGTTGCTTGGTGAAGTGTTGAAACATTTTTCTTATTTCTTCTAGGGGTTTTTTGTTGGCTAGGAGAAGACATATTTGAATTTGAGAGATTGAAA